AACATTTCAGTGTGACAAACATGCAAAAAAATAAGAAATCAGCAAGGGGGCAAACACTTTTTCACACCACTGTATATTTTCAATATAATTACATTATTAATATTAAGTATATACTTCAATGAGCCTGTTACATTAGAATATCGAAAGTCTTCTGGAAAGGAAGAAGTAGAGGTTAACTCCAAGTAGACGGAAACTCCCAAGTACACTTGGTACCCAGTACCAAGGTACACTCTTCCAGCCTTAGGGTGTGAGGCACCTCTTCTCTTGCCTGTTTTCTTGTTTCTCAACATCACTGCCAAGTTGTGATGCTAAGCCTGCGTAGACCACAAGCACGGGCTTTAACCTGTCTGAAGCTTTCCAATGGGATTTTGCAGGAAAACAGGAGTGCCATTTCACAATTTTATCACCTGGCAAGACTTGAGGGCCACGGAACTCGTCAGGATGTGGAACCAGTCTTATGTTATGAAGGTGCGTGTGACTGCGTTACTAGGAAGAACACCTAAGAAGCTCAGCAGGATGTATCATTTCTCTACAGTCTTTCTCGCACTGATATTCTCTTCCCAGGTTCCACCTGATCGAGGTCAGAAACCCCGTGTCACGTGCTTCAGCTAAATTGTAGTGACTCTGAGTTGTGTTCTCGCCAGGGTCTTCGTCACATATTTAATTCAGTTTCCTATTTGGGTCATACTTTTAAATTTGTTCTTAAATTGTTGAATGTGATTTTTAGTTATAACATCAGAACAGTTACAAACATGAGGAGGCAATTTGCCCTGTCCAGCCCACTTGGTAATTGGCATGAAATTCATACGAGGCTATTATCCAGCTGTTTCGTGAGGGAACCGAGGGTATCAGCTTCAATATTCTCCTACCGCCCTTGGTGTAAAGAAATGCCCCTTTGTGAAGTTACCAGTGTTGAATTCCACTTGTGTCTTCTGGTTTGTGATTCACTGCTCATTCTGAAGAAGACAACAGGATTGAATTGGTATTAGAAATTCCTTCATTCAGATGTGTTCTCCGACACATTTAGGGCACTGAGGAATGAGAGACAAAAGCACGTTTCTTGAGTCATTTCCATGTGTCATTCCAAGTTAAATTTGATTAATGCTGAGGTCATGATAGAGGCACACCAGAAGAAGGCTCCACAGCCGAATAAACCTTTACTTGTCCCTTTGCATGATAGCGGCACTGTGATTATTTTCATTTTGCAGATCCCAGAACTTTGAGCTCTATAAGTAACATAGAATATAAACAGCATCGTCTTTATGTTGAACAAATCCATATTCATCTCTCTAGAAGGGCTGAATTGAGCCAACATCTAATTTTGCTTTTTAACAACCACCATTTTGTTCAAAATGTTTGATTTTAAACTTAAGTGTGAAAAATGGATTTTGAGCTTTCTTGAGAAAAAAATAGGCTAACCCCGCCAAAACGAATGTAGCAAATAAACCAAGTGAATCATTTTTTCTACACCAACAAGCTTTCATTGGGTAGCATGTTGTACATGATTACAGAAAAATCAAGCACAGCTTTTATAGTTTTTTTTCATGACTAATTAGACTTACACGGCAAAATCCCTTTGCGCACCAATAACGGCACCTGTGCCATAGGTTACTGATACCCGCAATGGGTGTTGGAAACAATACAGTTTGATTGGCGTTTTTCAAACTGAGGATTATGATTAGCGAATTTAAAAAATAAACCAAAAATCTGAACAGGTAATCTGATTAAATTCATTAGTTTGCACTTGTAACTTGGAACTCATTTGGAACATAAAATCAGAAGACACTGCGGTGCTTCAGAACCTAAGTTGGGAACCTCTGACCTACAGTCCGTTCATTGAGGCAGTAACATAGTCCACACGCCAGAAGGAGCAATGCATTTCAAGACATTGTGCAAAGTCAAGGCCTTGCAACCAACCGGTAGTCTTTGAAACCCTGCCTTAGCTGATGTATACGTACATACTCAAACATTTTGGGTGCCTTCATCAAGCCTGAATATTGAAGAGCAGAGATAACTGCCTTGCTCGGTGCCATTTCTACAGCATTTAAAAAAGCGTGGAAGCTCTTTTGAGGAAGTGGTGCCTTAATTGTGGCGTGGGTGTGTGTGTCCTGTGAGCCGCTTACAAGCGCACATCATGTCCTTTTCTTGCCCAAGCTAGGTTACAGACTGGTTACAGCACCATTTATGTGGTTTCATTCTAGCAGAAACATTATAAGTTCAAGCCAAGACCCAGGTCAGAGTGTCAGTGTGAAAAGGTAGTGAGTAAATAAGGTTAAATTAACTGATTTTTATTTTTTGTCATACTCCCGACATGGTTATCAAATACCATTTTCCACAGAATATAAAATGCTAGCCAAGGTGTTGCCATGAGAACTGTATGGCCAAGTAAATAATGACGCAAAGATTTTAAGTTTCTTTTAGAAGCAGTGTTGATTTTAATTTTGTTCATGGCACTGGAAAGCATTTTTTTTCTATTCTGCCACTTATTAGTCAACATATAAAACGTAAAAACTATGAAAACAAATGTTAATTAGTAAAGCTATCACAAGACTGCTTGTTTAGCATACCATCAGAACAATCTTCAGAAGTGGTAGAATGATGATCAACGCAAACCTAGGAACAAGCAATCCATTTGTCCTATATACTGTACTATAAATATTATTCTATAAATTGCGTAAAGCAGCACACATCCATGACACTTATAAAAAATAACATCCCAAGGCAAAACATAAGGAAATTTGAAAAAAAAACCTTCATTACCAACATAACAGAATAACCAATTTAATTAAAAAAATACACTTATCCCAGACATTTCTCAGTATTTATGAACAAAGGAAAATCCTTCAAAAAACAGCAGTTTTCAGGCCAGACAATACTAATAAACATGAGGAAGCCAAAATATTTCTTGCATCCTCACCCAGAACCCAGCCAAAATGCTTCCAAATACTGTGGATACACAAACTCACATGAGGGAAAACCAATTGCCAGAAATCAGTCAGAATTTATTTACAGATAAACTGATAATCAGGTTGCCCCAGGATTGCAATGACAAGCTGACGCATCCTAAAAGAATGGTTTCTTTTAACAAGCTTTAAAGTCTAAAACCTAAGACCCCAGCTTGCATGGTGTATAATGCATATTTTTTAACATCCCTTTTGTGGTCTATGACATCAGTGAGTGACACTGCTTGTGTGTGTTCTGTGTCCAGGCAGTCCATTGGGTGACGAAAATGTTACACTTCCTCACCAGGCAGAAGCGTTTCCTGGCTGCAAGCCTTGTTGTGTTTTCTACACAACACGTCACATTCCGCTTGGCCTGGGTTCTCCAAAACATAAAAGAGGTGAGAAGCAAAACCGGTCAGACCAGGACTGCGCTAGCTACAGTGAGTGTTTTTCCAGAGGAAGTAAAATGGATGGCAGGAAGACCAAACTGCATGTGATGACCTCTGAATCCCCTGGGTGTGCTACGTACTGTACATACATTTCATTACAGTCGTCACCTACCTTAGGTCTTGCATTCCAATGCCCAGATAAATGTATTTACACTTGATGGAAAGAAAAAAGTGCTTTACTCTTGTTTGGTGATTTTTACTTAGTTACAAGAAGCCGTTGAAGAAGACGATTGCTTCTTCGGGACAATTGACACCTGGCTGCTGTACAGACTTACCAAAGGTGAGCTGAAGTCATGCAGAGAATCACGGTGGCTCTGCAGCTGGACACAATTGATCATCTTTGTACAGTACCTTTGTCTGGGAAACCTCTTTGTGAAATCTAAGCATACGCATATAGCTCAGAAGGACAATTTTCTGACTTCGTGGATAGAGAAAAAGCAGATCATCTTTTGCCACAAAGAGCCCCTTCAAAATCTCCAAACTGTGATAAATGAAATGCATTTGAACTTTTTATTAAAAGAACATTTTTGTTTTCACACCCATATTCTTCTATCCTGGTTTGGTACAGGCTACAAATACGGCAAATTATACCAGATTTATATAACTTAATACAATTAAGAACAAATTCTGTTTGGGAAGGAAAAGAGCTGAAAATCTTAATTTGAGTACTTTTTGTAAGGTAAAACAATTGAAAGAAAGCTTTCTTTCATATGTGTGTGTAACACAGCTCCAAGCATTGCATGCTAGTGCAAGGAGACCATTTCCAAGTAGCATTCAAAACGTGTTTGTAAAATATGCTGAATTACTGTAGTCCAGAAATGAAAGAAATGCCTGTGACACTGCTATCCTTTTAAATGTGGATTTTCACATACCGAGAATTAAAACAGTGCCAGTTACTTTCAGTACTATTTTAATATGTTGAATCCATTTGTATTTCAAATTTAGGTGCTGTTCATGCTACAGATTATTCCAATGCAAGTAGCACAGGAATGTTTGATTCTTATCAGGTAAGAAGCTTTCTAAATGTCTTTATTCAAAGGGACAGATGCTTGCCCTTTGCTCCATGTTGCAAGTCACTGAGATACGCAGTTCTGACCGAGGAGGTGTGTTTTGCTTTCAGATGTGCTGGAGTCGCTTTCTCTGCTCTCTCGTTTCCTTGCCGGTCTCCATCTTCCCCACCGTCGAGAATACTGGGTAGGAGTACAATTCAGTTCTTGAAGCTTCAGTGTCAGTGATGGGAACTTCCTTTTTAAACGCGTCCATTACAGTAACAACTTGCTTGTATGAGGGGAACAAGGGGCGTAACGGTAAAGAAGAGATTAAATTAATTTAATTGTACAATGCAAAAAAGCCCTACCATAAATGCTAAACAGACTTCAGTTAGGTTTCTGCCCAGATACAATTTCAAGTACTATTCAGTGAAAAAAAAAATTGCAAATAACCCACAGAAATTTCTAATGCTGAAGCTTCAGTATTTTTGAAGTTCTTGCATGTAAAATTAGTCATGAGTAGAACTAATCTTTCTCTTCCCTCAGTCACAGATTCGGCTCAGCTGATCCCAGCATCTTTGGTGTTCCAATACCTATAATGTCTATTGTGAGTATGGATCTCTAAAAAATATTCAAAACGTTTTGGGGGATTTGTGTTTTAACTGGGGAGGGGGACCAGCTCAGGTATTTCTTGTTTTCAGAGCAGAATGCAGAGGAAAAATATTCAGTTAACAGCATTTAGTTTTCATTCTTCTGACGTCAAGGAAATTGACCTTTTTAATTTAATGGTTTGATAGAACAAAAATTGACGAGGGTTTTGCATTTCTTAAATAGAGGGCAAAATTAAGTGGCCCCTCAGATTAAAAAAGAAAATCTCTGATAATTTCTTGGTCGTTTTAAAACCTAATGCACGAGTATTTTCTAGGTGGCAGATCAACAGGCTGCGATGTTTGGTGAATGCTGCTTTGACAGAGGTGATGTGAAGATCACCATGGGAACAGGAACATTTATGGACATCAACACTGGGAACAAGCCTCATACCTCCATGGCTGGTAAACTCAGAGGAGGATTTTCCAGAACTTTCTAGTTGTCTTCAACTAGACACTTTGTTTAGGCCTTTGTGTGATGGGGCTTGTAAAATGCAATTAACTTGTTATGCTGACTGCGAAAAGATACCCTTGGGGGGAAAATAGAAATTTAAGCACACAAATGAATGAAAAAATAACCTGTCTAACACTTGTTACTTAAAAGCCTTATGGGGCTTTAACTTTCAGTCAATTCCCAAAATAATGCAAATGAATTCTTCTTCTGCAGTAGTCTTCAGTCCCTTTTTTTCAAGGCAGCCTTGTAAGATCATTTAAGCACGCTAACCGAGAAGTCTGTGGTCCTGCTTTAGTTCAGTTTTCAGCAGGGTTGGGCAATGTTATCTCATGAGTTGCCATGTGACTGCTGAAATGAGAAAGAGTCACAGTGTAGAGGTAGCAAAGCTGCAGCAGCTCTCAATGGTGGTGATTAAAGAACCGCTGTCGACATGTGTAACAGCTGAGCATGTACTGTAGCTCCAGTGGTAATTACCAGACCTGCGTTAGCTTTGTCCCTCCAGGTGTAGGTACAGGAGCCGCCCAGTTACAGTGAGCATATAGATTCTCGGGAGCATTGCCTGTGCCTCAGTGAGAACATATTTTTCTCACAACGCTTTGTTTTTTCTCTGTATTATGCAGCTGAGGCATAGGCATAACTTGCATTCTGAGGTCTGACTGCGTGTGTTACAGGAATTCAAAAGTGCAGCCATTCTCTGAATTGTACCAAGTTGTTGCCTGTTCCTTCTTAAACCTGTTTGACATCTTTCATCTCTGTTTCTGTTCAGGATTGTATCCATTAGTGGGTTGGAAAATTGGCCCAGAATTGATCTATTTAGCTGAGGGAAATGCAGCCGACACAGGAAGTGCCATTAAATGGGCACAAGAGCTGGGTAAGAAGTGCTGAAATTTCTCTGGTATTGTAATTCATTCTAGCTCTGAATTCCATCAGTATACACTTATTTCATTTTTTAAATATAAAGCAAGGCTGGGATGGGTTTATTGGGATTGCTGGATTGTGTTATCCAGACATTGTTGGTTAAAACCCAGGTTATGCCATTATTTGATGGTAACTGGGATTGCTCAGATTGTGGCCTTGGGTGGAACTGAATTGTTTTTCATTGGCACATAACTGTGATCTGAGATGCCTGCAGTTTGCATTTCTGTCAATGAGAAATGCATCACCCCTCCAGTTGGTGCTATGCATGGCAAAGCTCACCACTTGTCAAGTGGCAGATGGCATTGACGTGGGTGTGTCGAAGGAGTGTATACCCACAGGTGCTAAGTTTCCTGATACAGTAAACCAAGCCGACTAACAACTGATCATTTCAAACTAGAAAGGATTTACCGTATAGAAAAATAGCAGCATAAATGTGTTTGATTGAGGCCAGTTAATGACAAAAAATGATTTCCGCAGAGCTGTTCTCTGATGTGAAGGCAACAGATGCAATGGCAAACAGTGTAGAGGACTCTGACGGAGTGTGTTTTGTTCCATCCTTCAGTGGCTTGCAGGTAAGACTCAGCAGAAGGGCCCCGTAGTGGAAACAACAGAAGCAGTTTTAATCTGCATTTTTGGCAGTATTACACTGGACTGACTCAGGGTTGCCTCTAAAAGCAGAAGATTGGGCAGTGTTTTTAGTACAGGGGTGGACAGAACACATGACTTAGTATGACAAATTCTTCTCTTCCTCCTGCTTTTATTGCTTCATGTATCTGTGCCTTATAAGTTTCTTTAATCGTTCATTTGATTTTGCTTTTGTAAATGTTACCACTAAAAAGAGAGATCCAATATACATTTAATTACATATTTAGAATTTTCTGTTGGGCTGTTTTCAGGCTCCCATTAATGACCCCAAAGCATGTGCCTCTTTCATGGGCTTGAAACCGTCAACAACTAAAAGCCATCTCGTCCGAGCTATACTGGAATCCATAGCCTTCAGGTGAGATGACCTTTGCATTTTCAAACTGCGCTAAAGGTGGGATGTGTGTGTGTTTCCATGCTAGGTTGCAACAACCAACTGCTCAAAACTGCAAATGGGTTAAGAATTAAAAATTAAGCTTAAAATGAGCAAAATTTAATCTTTAACTCATCGTCAAAAATAGAACAACTTTCCTTTTTGGTTCCTCCACCAATGATGTGATCTTGCAACGTGTGTTTTCTGCAGATTTGCCTTGTTCTGTGTCTAATGTCAACAAAACATTTTGTCTTTAGGAACAAGCAACTCTATGATGTTATGCTACAAGAGATGCACATTCCAATTACAAATATAAGGTATTTTTTTGTCTTATAAGTAATTATAACTGTACCATGTCACTCTTACATTATGGTCTTAGTAAATCCCTCCCAATTTTCCTGTTTTCCTTTCCAATTTTCCAATCATATATCTTTTTTTAATCTAGTATCGAGACCAAATCTGTACCTGTAGATTAAACATACAGTATGTACATATTTTACAGTAACATTAAAACTGGATCTTAAATTCTAAATGTGCACCTCACCAGTAGGTGGCACTCTTCCCTCTGGATCACAAATTCCAAGCCAATGTCTCAGTGTGGCCAAGACAGTGCTGTAGGAGGGATCATCCTTCAGATAAGATGTTAAAATTAGATCCTGACTTCTTGAAGTCTTTAAGGCACTTTTCCAAAGGGGGAGTGTGTTAACCCACGGTGTCCATCTGTTTGTGCAATTTAGTCCTCCTTAAGTTTCCTCTTAAATTGGTGAAGTTATGTATCTACCTGATGTGCTGTATAGAGGGGTTGCTGGAGTGTAGTGGCTCTTTGAAATCCATAATAATGAGATGTGCTTCCCAGGTGCACAGAATTCATATTGTTAATAATAAATGAAGTGTGTTGTATAATATTAACTAGTATACTTATTTTATTAGCAAACCAAAGAAAAGAACCACAACAACCATAGGATATACTAAAGTATAAGTAGGAACTTACTGAAAATGTTAAGAAAATATTCATAAAGAGTATGCTGTGACTCACCCAAATGCATTCCTTTCTTCATAGCTGTTATGAACAAGAAGCTCAATGGATAAAAAAGTTGATCAAAAGTATTGGCTATATGTTTTACAATGTTTTTCTGGTATAATTTGTAAAATATTTCATTTTAAATATTGCACATCTGTAGTCTGTGTGTTTCCTAATGCCCCAGTATAGTGATGGTGACACTATACTGTAAAAAGACGCCATCCTTCAGATGAGATGTAAAATCGAGGTTCTGACTCTCTGTGGCCATTAAAAATCCCAGGGTGTTTCTCGAACTGAATAGGGGTGTTATTCCAGCATCCTGGCCGAATTTCCACCTGGACTTTGCCAGTCATGGCCTCATAATAATCCCCATCTATAACCTGGGTTCATCACTCTGTTCTCCTCCCCACTGATATCTGATGTGTTAGAAGTGTACTGGAGCACTACAGCTGCCGTGGCGTCATCCAGGTGGGGCTGCACATTGGTGGTGGTGGAGGGGAGGCCCCCTTACCTGTAAAGCGCTTTGAGTGGAGTGTCCAGAAAAGCATTATATAAGTGTAAGGATTATTATTATTTGTTCTTCGTAAAGCTGCTGCTGTTGTTTTGTAATGCCTGAGGCTTCTGGAGGATGACCTCTCTGAACCGTTGTCCAGAGTTGTTCTTCTCTTCCTCAGCCCTCCTAAAGATCAGCTCCTTTAATCAGCGCGGTTTACTCCATTCTCACAGGGTGGACGGAGGTGTGTCCAGCAACAACTTTATCATACAGCTGACAGCAGACCTCATTTGCAAGAAGATTGGCAGGCCCAGACACATCGATATGTCCAGTCTCGGGGCCGCATACATTGCCGGGCTTGGAATTGGTATGTGGGGAGCTTATGTGACACAGAATAAAAAAGGCTACATTTCTACATTCTGTAATTTGTCATTTCCCACGGTTTATGTTATTCCAGAAAAGTACATACCACAGCTCACCATACAGTTTTCACCCCCCTACAAAGCAAAGGGCATCATCGTCAGGTGAAAATAAGTTTAATAGTGTACTGTAAAACAGGGTGGCACAGTGGTTAGCATTTCTGCCTCGCAGCGCTGGGGCCCTGGGTTTAATATTGGACCTGGCGTGCTATCTGCATGGAGTTTATATGTTCCCCTCTCGTTGGTGTGGGTTTCCTCTTAGGAAACTGGACCTACCACAGTCTGAAAAAACATATTAGCAGGTCAATTGCTTCTGGAAAAATTGCCCTGGTGTGAATGTCTGTGTCTGTGTGTGCCCTGCAGTGGAGTGGTGTCCCATCCAGGGTGTACCCTGCCATGCGCCTATGGCTGAATAGACCCTGAATAGGAACATTTTCACAAGAAAATCCTCTCCAAGTCCATTTTGGAACTGAGCAGAGTGAAACCGTCACTTAGTTTTGCTATTTCAAACGTATTAAAAACTATTAAAGCTTGGAAAGGTTTGATGTTTCCTTCTAGGGGTAATACAGAATGCAATCTTGGAAATTACTTGCAAGAGGGAGTCAGGAATAATTGTCAGGAAAAATTTTACAAAAATGTTTCTTGTTCTTTCAAGGTTTCTGGAAGAGCAAGGAAGACTTGAAGAATCTGAAATGCTTGGAAAAGGTCTTTGTCCCTCGGAATGTTTCTCAGGACTATAATCCCATCATGGAAAACTGGGAGAAAGCTCTGATGCGATCAATGCACTGGTACAGCAAACGATAATTAATAACCGGGGAGCCTTCGGTTTTAAGTCTATAATCAACTTGGAACTTAAATCCACAGATGAGACAACTTCAGCCTTTGGCACCTGATGACCACTAATCTTAGTTTAATATTCTTTCCTAAAAAAAGCCTTAGTCATTTGTTAATTTCATTCACGCCCACCCCAACTCCCCCAGTTTGGAACCTCCAATTGTTAATCAGCTCAGGTTTTCTTCTACATTCCTCTTGCCAGCATGTGCTGGAATGAAGGCTGTTTGTGTGCTTTCCTTCCAGCATGAACATGTCAGAGCCATCCGCTGTGTTTCAGAGTGCATGTTCAACAGTGCCTTAACAAGAGAGTTAGCGTTGGTTGGAGAAGTGATGGGGTAACGGGGGGGTGGCAGTTAATTACAGTAATGCTGCTGTCCTCGCAGCTCCAGGGACCTGGATCATCTGTCTGTGTGGAGCTTGCATGTTCTCATGTGGCCATGTGGGGTTTTGCGGAGTGCTGCAGGTCCCTTCCACTTGCCAAACACACACTGGCTAGATTTGATAGACTATTCTAAACAGTTGCTTTATCTGTGGACCTGTGATAGACAGGGATCCATGGCAGGGGGAGAGAGGTTCATCTCTCTCTGTCCTGCCTTCTAGGCTGCTAGAATAGGCTCTGGCTTTCCATGGCTATCATCTGGATGAGAACAGCTTCCTTATGATGGACAGAGGAGTGTCTGCTGGGCACTTTTATGAGACAAACCGAGTGGACTTGTACATGGCCAGACACTCTAGGACTTGCTCAGTTATGCATCACCGCTTGGAGAATCCCTGTCACAATCAGCTAATGATATCGTCCAGACCTGAACTGGCAGAGCGTGGGGTACAGATATTAAGCTGTCCTACAAATGAATTCCTGTCTAATTCCTGACAGAGCCTGTCACAGCACCTTGTTCCAGGTATCAGGCCACAGAACGAACCTATCACAAAAACAAAATGTGCTGCTGCATGATTTTACTGAGGCATTAAAGTAAAATGATTCAATATGTATTATTCTCATGAAGGTTCCCAAGTATTAGAATACATTGGGTGTAAAAAGATGATGTATTGAGTGATTACAAGGGAATATTACATGAAGCTCTTCTGAAGAATGCCAGGGTACATGATTTCATGCGAACAAAAAAGTAAGTTATAAAAGCTTTATTTCATGGCTGATTCAAAAAAGACGTCAAGATATTTTCTTTACATATCCTGTTTATTTTCTCGACCTGTTCTGATCTGTGTTACTTTTATATTGGGGAGCATAACTAACTATACACTATTTGCAATGTATGTGTTAATGGGAGTGATATGAAGAATGAGTATCCCTTATGAATGTAAACAGACCAGCTAGTCCTTAATAGAAAGATTTGCCCTTTTGCCTAATATACTGTAAGTAATATGATGTATTTTTATATTTATGCAGAAATTAGGTGTCATAATAATTCCAAATGCTTCTCTCTTTAATGATGATCAAAAATTATTTTTAACTGTGACATACTGGCCAAAATGAGGCCTGCACTTTCCCTTTTTTTTTAATTAAATGCTGTCATTTAATTTAAAAAAAACACATTTTCACTCTGTATACCTCCCTGAGGAAAGCAGTCTCTTCTGTTCCTGTGTAGAAGTGTGGGTCTTTCTTGGTCCTTAATCTGGAAGTGTGCCTTTTTGTATTTCTGAGGTTTACAGAGCTGGATGCATTAGATGCATAGTATCTAAACCAAACTGCTTTGTTTATTGTTTTGAGGAGGGAAATATGCATAACTTTCAAACGGCAGCTTCCTGAACTTGTCCAACAGGTTGTAACAGGCTGAAATACTGCTTTGCTTGTGAAAGAGGGGCAGGTGCCACACACAGAGGAGATATTATTTCATGGGCTGCTTTTTCTTCTTCCTTCGCTATAGTAGTAGTTGTCTTTGCTCTTTGTCTCACCAAAGGTATTGTCTGTTATAGAGCAGTTTATAGATGCATTTTATTTCAGGCTCAGGCTTATGTGCCAATATGTATAACCATCCATTTCCTAGAATTTGTTAAATAATAAATTCAATGTTTACAGGATCTAATTGAACACAAACACTGGGTATAATTAAACTGTGAAAATGTACTCCTTTTTAAAAATAGTATATTTTTAACTGGAGTATTTACATGTTTAATTTTGAAATGGAATGTTTTTTAATTCCAAATCATGCATTTTTAAACTGCACTTTTATAGTACTACCTCTGTACTGCATTTTGCTGTTTTATCACTAACACCAAGATTTGTATTTGCCATGACTATTACTTTATGATCCCAAATTTCTGGAGGCTTCAGTTTTTATAGAAATGACAATCTTGTATAGCAAGGTTAATGTCATTTAATTTGGGGGAGAGGGGTTGCTACCTGATTACAACACTGTAGAAACGTATTTCAAATTGTTTTTGTTTCCTACAGCTGCTAAAATATGACATCATCAAAACTTTATGCATTAAAACCATTAATATACTGTATATTTAAAGTAATTATAAATGACCTCTGTATAAGATTGTGTTCTGTTTTGACTACATTGAGGCATGGAGGTTTACTCCAGTATTCTTGTTCATATCACATAGCACAGTTTGTTAATTAGATTGTACAAACGGTGTCTTTCAGGTTGTGTTAATAATTATTTTGCCCTGTTTTAGGATTTATAACAAAGTGTCTGATTTTCCTCGTGGGCGAACCTTTGGCATGTGACCTGTCTTACTCATTAACTTTGGAGTGAACAGTTTGTCCATGGTTTTTGCAGAGGGGAAAAAACAGTACTGACGAGTGAAATTCAGATAAGAAGTTGCAAATTTCATGTATTATACATTTTCATCATCTTTACTATATCAAGAGAGCATTAACAGAGTATTAATAAGCTGTTAGGAATTCACCTTTACTGACAAATTGTACATTTATGGACTAAAGTCAGTTTGTTCTCATACAGTATATAAATGGTTAAAGGAAGCTTCAGTAACCTGCGATGGAGTCGTTAACCAGATCCCATCTAGGGTGACCTGGCCTTGCACGTGCTGTTTGCAGTGATAGGCTCTGGCTCACCCCACAACCCTGAATTGGAATAACCAGTTAGAAAATAGATGGATGGATAAATTAACTGGTCAATTATTTGTTTGGTTTAGGAGTTATAAGTGATACTTTCTAAAGGGTCTCACTTAAGTTTAACTCTCTGTACTAAAGGTCTATTAACATGTGTTTAATGATTTTATAAAGAGTTCTTAAATTACACACCTCTAATCCTAGGGGTGTAATCAGAAGTAGTTTTTTTTACAAATGTAATTAATCTAAACTAAAGTTTGGAAATGATCAAAGTTTGCTGACTGTTAATGTTGTTATTATGTTTCAATTATAAAATATTTAGAAATAGAACTCCTAATCTAAAGTGTTACTGAAAAGGGATGCATAATTTACAGAGTATCGAACTTGGCATTAAGATTTATGACTTAGATTAGTCGGACTCTGTGCCAGGCCCGATAGGCCGCGATCCCAGCACGTCTACTGGTTGGCTTAAGAAATCAGCCATTACTAACAGAATAGTGGTGAAATAAACTAGATAGGTACCAGACCTCACTTTTATATGGTGGAAAGTCAAACCCTGGTATACACCACTGCATACCACTTACATGAACTGGCATGAAAATGGAATGTGCCCCACCCTACCCTCATACCTACACACACATGCACACCCTTCTCTGTTTAACTAACAGGCGGTGATGGTGAAGTGTTATGCACAGACACTTTAAAATCAACACCATCACCAAAGCACAGAATAGCTGTACCTCAACAGAAACTATCCGTGTGTACTGTCTTTGCATTAGAGCTAATATGATTCTGTTGTTGGTTTCATCTTTGCATCATAACTGTAAAAGTTAGTTGAATACACTATGTATCACCCAACCTTTTGAAGCAGGAATGTCCTGGCAGGGACAAAATGCAATTTTAAAGATCTTGAAACTGGTTGTTGAGCTTAATTTAAGCTGTTTGCTTTGAAAATTATTTTTACTCACATTATAAATGAAGGATGCTGCAACATCTTTAAGCATCCTTTCTAGAATAGGTGATGAGTCCCTTTCAAGTCTGCAGTATATTAAAAGGTGATTTTAGCTTTCCTAGATCATCATCAAAGAAAACTAAGGTGTTTACTTCAATTTCAATCGTATAATGAACAGAACTACTTTAACTTGCACAATTCACAGATTTATTGTGTGTGTTATTTCACCATACCAAAGCCATTGAAAATGGCACTTGTAGATAAATATTCCCAAATTGTCCCTGGTGTCCCTTAACAACACCATGTCATCATGTTCACTGGTACAGCAGGTATGGAATTGAATTGTGCTCTTCATCCAAACTTGGAGGGAATGGGGAGTAAAAGGGTGGATTGTCTGTCTTGGAGAGGAAATAACTGCAGTAGGCCACATAAGATCCAAGAACTTGAATGTTGAAATTCCCAAATTGGCTTTATTGCTACCCAGTGGCTTTATTTCTGGAGGTTATACCTTTGTAAAATTGTAAAAGTGTGTGGGTGGGCCTTTATACAACAGTTTTTCTGAAGGTGCTGGTTTGTGTAGGGTACAACAAGGTGGGATTTCCACATTTTTCTGGCGGCATAACCGATGAACAAGACGTTTTTCCTGATGAGGTCTCTCAATGTAAAAATCTAATCAAACGGAAGTCTACAAAATCCCTCTACATGACCTTACTCTGGATTTGAAAACATTTATAAGCAGGAGTTCCAGGTTAAGACACATTTAGTCCAGTCTCTTGGTTGGAGAAACCCTGCAACAGAGAAGTCTCTGCTGTTAAGACACGGAATACTGGGAAGGCTTCCTTCTCATTTAATTAGATGAACTGTTATTATTTTATGGAGCCTAGGAGGCGAAAAGCGGGAATATTGTTTTTTTTCTCTGACGCACGACTTCTTAAGTCGTGACTGTGAGATAATAATGTCGTGCGAAGAAGATATACCTCGTGGCCAAACCATTCTCAACGATGTAGATGAAGTAAAAGCACAATCCTGATGGTCGTGCAGTAGAGATTTACGTAATGTCATCCCCACTACTTTTCTTGCTTGCACGATCTGTCCTGCGCACGAGATAAAGATGTTCTTTCCCCATGTCTCTTACGTGAAGGGTTACAGTGAACAAAAACGGACACCCCTTTATTAAGTCAAGACAAATCATTAATTATCATTATTATAATTTGAGGTATCGCAGACACATTTCCTTTGTTTTCGTTTTTTTAAGATACCAGCATATGCAGAGATGACTAATCATTTAGAGATAAGTTGGAACGACTCCCTGTTTGTTGGTGCAAAATGGAAACAAACTATTTTGATATCTCTTTCAATGATTTACAGGGATACAAATCTGAACTGTAAGGGAACGGAGAGTAAATTACCGTTCACATATTTGCAAGGATATTTCCAGAAGTCTCATAAAGTACTTTGAGGTGTCCCCTAAAGTTTAGGTTTCTTAAAATGATATAAAAGACATCCTGAAATATGAATCTCTAATTCATTAACAAGAAATATATCAAAATGATGGGTTTCTTAGATCCGTACTGTTTACATATCGGCCTGTCTTCTTTGTAAAAAGCCAGATGACAGCTCCGGTAAGGAGGGGGGGGTTGTCCAATCTGCTTTCATCTGGTGTCGAGCATCACAGACATGCGTGTCCAATCAGAGCGAACAGCTGCAGCCGCCGCCAAGCTTGTGTGCGGAGTCTGTTCTGACAGGAAGCGGACGACAGTTGCTTTGCAGCTTGTTTCCCTTCTGTTAGTGCAACTCGGGCAAAGACCATTGACGTTCACCCCCACTTTCAAAACTGTGCGGGGGGCAATTTCGCGCAACACCCGCAAGACGCCTAGCGTCAGGATAGCAACCAGCCTGGCGCCCTTCGGTAGTTTCAAGCTGCGGTGTATTTCTTTTAAAAAAGGCTGAGCTGATCGTTACAATAAGCGAACAAAAAACTCCCGAAAGACACAGCCCGCAGGGTAGGATAATACAGCGCATCGATTCACTGGAAATTGCTTGGATGTCGGAAGCTGCAAAAATCAAGTTGTGCTCGAGATTTTTTATTGAAGTCTATTTTCTGCACTTTAGACTTTAGTCTTTCCAAAATTGCAACTTTACAGTCTAGCGACCTACAGTACTGTATATCACTTGATTTGAAAGCGAGTTTATCTCTTCGTAAAATTTAAAGCTCGTATTCTAAGGTCTAAAGCTCGCTTTGAGTGTCGAATCGTACACATCACTTTGTGCACATTTTTAGCTTATTTAGTTTATAAGAATTTTAGTCGACCGATGAATGCGGTTAAGAAATCGCACATACTGAAAACGAAACTAAAGTTTGCCCTTGACTGTGAATTCTTCTACAAAAAACAAAATGGTAAGTATATTTGACTTATGCTTTTTAAAATCGTTGCCGTCTTTAACTGTTAGTATTTCTTTCTGGATTTGACAAATATCAAATAATGCGACGGTGTAGGGTTTAATATGTTTATACTACAGTAACGCTAAGATGTTTGTAATTAAATTGTCTGATGTGCAAGCTTTCATTGACAAAAATGTACATAATTGGACTGCCGTGTGCAGTATTTATTTTATGTTGCAAATGCTATATTATATTAATATATTACGTCCAACTTGGTACAGTTTTGTGATGCAAACTAATTCGCGAGCAGTAAAGGAAACATCAAATGCCAATTCTGTACAAGACGAATTGGGCTATTTTTGCAAGAGTGAAAATGCAGAAAATGGTTAACATCCTGCTTTGCATGCGCGGTGTACCGGCCCTGTATGATTTCCGAGTAAGTTATTCCAGCCATCGTCTACAAATTCCTCTTTGGGATCAACATCACTCATGCCAGAGAGCCTCCTTTTGAATAGGCGTCCAGTTCCTGGCAGTGTTGTACATCTGCTCACATGCTTCTGACTTAGTGTGTTCTGCTGAATTTGATTTCTCCCTTCATGTTTCAGAACTGCTGTCATTTTTAAACGGACTGATTAGCCGTCCCTTTTTCATCTTCCAATTCCATTAACTCGTGATCTAAAGTGGGCAACCCCAAACTCGTCCAGCCTGATACCTAAAGATTACAAAAAGATTATTCACAAAAGCGTTAAACCCAAATATTCTACCCCGTAATCACAGGTATCTTTTACATTTTCCGCTCCTTATTAAAAACATACACTAAAAAGACGTGAGTACTATGGATGGCAGGGGGCAGCACTGTGATGTCAGTGTCAGTGAATCTTAGGTCTTGGCCCTGGGTTCAGATCTAGCCTGTTGGACCTTCTGTGTGGAGTTTGCATGCTTTCTCTGTGTCCTTTTTTTTCACCAGAACCTCCGGTTTCCTCCCTCAAGCTGTCTAGCTTAGCAGGCGTCTCTAATGGCTTCCCTGTGTGAATGTGTGCACTCTGCGATGAACTGTTGTCCCATCCAGGATGTAGCCCCACCTAAAGCCTTGCTCTGATGGGGTTAGGCTCTGGCTCACCAC